CAAGGTTTCTAGGCACTGTTGTAATAAATATGTAGATACATGCATGTTTATACATATATATAAAAATGATGAAAGTCTGATCAAGTGTGTTGTGTAACGGCAGTGTGGTACAGAGATCCCTCAGCCAGTGCTGAGCTGACATGGCAAATTCCCACAGCACAGCCTGTGGGCTGCTCTGGTGTGAGCTGGCTGGATCTGAAGGCTATGGAAAATCAAGAGAAGAGTTCCTTTACTCCAGTGCAACTTCGTATACTTTTGGCTAAACTTTTCCACACCAGAGCTAGCTGAAGTGGAACAAACAGGGTTGTGATGTAGGTATTCCTGATGACCTTGCATGAATGTTACATGCGGGGGAGTAAGGAGCAGGAGAGACGTCATGGTAAGACCCACTGACCTGGAGTGCTTTACCATAGTAGAAAACCTTTTGCAGTGATACTTTAAATAGCATCAGTCCTTTTGCACATAGCCCCAAATGGTCCAGGTGAGTAGGAACCTACTCTTATGAGAGCTCAGCAACAAATTGTCATCTGCCCAAATCGTCCTTGAAGACTTCAAGTTAAGGGAAGCCTAGTCCTTTAATAGACAAGTGTAGTGTTTAGTCATCAGGCATCAATTGCATCATGTCAGACGGAGTATTTGGTATTAATCAAGGAGGCAGACACTGAAGTATATATCCTAGATATTTGATTGCATTAGAGGATTTATCCTTAAACATTGGTAGAGTCATATGATGGAACATGATCGAGTCACCATGGCTTAGCAGGGTACCACCCATCGGTTTAAATGTTAGTAAGAGTGACTCATGGTGTTAGCATGGCCATGCAGAGGAAGAAGAGCCACGTGGTCAGTTGCAGCAGCTTGGCTAACATGTGGTATTTTAATGAGCCACTGTAATGCTGACTATCCAGGCCACGTACACCCAAAGTGTACAAATGCTGGCTGAGACCCCATCATATTCAATAGCATGCTTCCGCTGGAACACAGTAAAAATTCCTAAATTTTGGAAAAATTTCACAGGTAGCCAGATTTTCAGTGAGGTTGAGCATCTGCCAGTTCTCTATCTTATATGTCCTTTATCTGTGGGCTGTTTGCCCAACAGCCCTATTTATTTAGCAACACAGGTGCCAAGGAATGAAAATCTCCCAGTCAGCAATATTGATTGACAGTCTGCAGGCAGTACATCATCAGCATTTACAAAGAGAGGAGCAGATTCAATATGTCCACCAAAAAATAACAGTTATAAACTCTCACTGACTGTCTTTGCTGCCAGATAGAAAGCAACAACAAAAGAGATTGTGTTGTCCTTGTAAGAGATGTCTTAGACAAATTGAGTATCTGAGTCTGTATGGTTCTGTGCCATAGATATTTTCTGAGCTCTGTGAGAGTGAGTGTATAGGAGCACATGCTGAATCCATGACCTGTGTTCAGTGTAGAAGCCATGGAGATATCCATGAGTACTGGCCAATGTCAGTTTCCCTGATATGGGAGGGGGAATCCATAGTGCATTATGTAGCATTTTTATCGATGGTAGGAGCACTGCAGGCTTTTCAACAAAGAGGCTCAACCTTGAGGTGCAAGTCTTCTCTGACTGCTCTGCACCTCTTTTAAAAAGCAGACTTGGGAACAGACTAGCAGGAGTGTAGTAAGAAAAAATATTTGAAGAACTGAAGATTTTTTTCCCCTCTAGCTAAGTGTAAAGTATGTGCTTTCCCCTAAAATGAAGCAGTGTTAAAGGTAAAACTGGGGGCATCAAGGAAGCTTCTTTGCCATTTTAATAAATACCAATAATTCCCTTTTTCCCATGCCCCATATTCCCAAACTCATTAAAGCAATTTTGGAAATTTTTTTGGCTCAGGAACATATAAGCAAAACCCAAACCATGCAGTCCCTTGAGAATCACTTGCGCAAATTGTATAGGTCAGGCCAAAAGAAGTTTCTGTCAAACAGCCTAACACCTAAGCTTATTAGGAAACTGGTGAATTGTACAAAGGGTCTGTATGTAGGGCACTCTCAGAATGAATAAAGGGATGGGGAGGGGCCTCTTTTCATGGTGCTTGTTTTACTTTGACCCCACTGAAAACTCAAGAGGTATTTTTATTGAATGCGTGGCTCAGGCCAGTGCAGTTCCCACAGATTCTCTTCCTTTGATCTAAGTTCCCACACATCTGAGCTGGTGGACTCAGAGGGCTGCAGAGTGGGCAGGTGGGTGCACACCTCAGTCTCATTCCAGGCCAGGCAGGAGAGTGCACCAGTGCTTCCTCCTTTCCTGCCCACTCCTCCCACCCACTGTCTGGGAGGGAACTCCATGGGCATCCCCAGCTGGGGTTGCAGCACATTCTGTTCTGCCCCTCAAATGCCCCAACGTGGGGCTCCAGCCCTTCCATCTGGCACACAGACTTTAAAGCATGAGGTAGAGAAGACCTGTTAGAGTTTGTCATCTGCTCTGCAGGGCAGTAGTTCTGGTGAGGATGGGCCAGTGGGAAGTAGATCCCTGTAGGGATCATCACAGCCTCTAAAAACCAAACTGAGATCTCCTCCTCACATTCAACCCAATAGCTCCTTACTTTTTTCTTTTCAAAAGAGCACTGTATCTGCTTTTCACGCTATTTTGACCCTGTCCTATTGATTTGTCAAGTCTTCATGTGTGAATGAGTGCTGGTACACGGAGCAGCTGAGTTTAGGTGGACAGCAGAATGGGTCAGGGGCTGTGTACTTTGAGTATATTTTCTGAGCTCATTTTTCCTGCAATGCATCCATTCCACTTATGCCACCTCCACGGCACCCCAGACTCAGCCCATGTGCTGAGCTGACTGTAGAGCTGCATATCCCAGAAATTCAATCATGCTCCCTCACAGAACTTACTGCACTCTCTCCCAGGATTACACCACACATTTGACAAATGTTGTCTTGAGTTTTTTTAAGGTGATATGAAGATGTTAGTACATCACATTCCTCCATCAGCAGATAACAAGGGAGGAATAGGAAGAACTCCTTATATCTGAGATACATTTGTTGTTATTTTTGGGCTTCTTTCTTCCCCTTCTGAATAAGTACTGTATGTGTCTGGGAGGATTTTTAAAACATCCTTCAAAACACAGGCTTTTTCTCTCCACAGAGAACCAAGACAAAAGGATGGGTTCAGTTGTGTGCAGCTGCTAAAAGAGGGCAGCTGAGGGCAGGAGGGTGGGAGGAGCAGAGTGTCTTAGTATGAGGGAATTGTCAGGGCAAGGATTTTGAGGTGGCATTTGTTGGGATAGAAATGTTTCTAGGGAAACAGGGTTGAAGACATGAGGGTTGAAGGACTTCAAGTCCAAGGATGGGAAATACTGGGGAGTTTTAAAGAAAAGGGGATTAGGTGGTTTGAAGTCTTGGCAAAAGAGAAGGAGACTTGTATGTCAGAAGAAGGTGGTTTTGCCATCAGACAGGGACCTTCAGTTTAGGAGCCTGGATGTGGTGCCCTCCAAACTGGATGTCTATGTATCCCATCTCTCACAGCCTTTGGGCTTTTTGCACGATGTTTGATAGCTGGAAATGACAGCTTAAGTTAGAGGAGGGTTGTATGTATTCCTTGTTGCCAGTACCACTTGCAACTGGAGGGGCAAAACCCCATCATTTGGTGTGACACAGTTCAGGCCAAGCAGGATAGTCTTACCTCTTGCTCCTCTAGGGTTATGACTCTGCTTCCCTTGACCAGCTCAGCCCAGTTTTGAGGGTTTTATGGCTAGCTGTGGATTGATCACTGAAGAAAAGGATGCTTTTGCCAAGGCTTCAAATCAGCCATGATGTTTAAAGGCTCTGAACATCTTAGGCTTTTGCCATGATTGCCCCTGCAGAGGTTCCTCAAACTCCCAGATTATGCACCCTCTTCTCCAGTCCGTCTTTAGGGGCAACTCTCCTTCCTACTAAACAGTCTAAACCATGTGCTGTACAGAAGAGCATCCTGTTCTCTGAGAATTTAACACACCTACTTGTACTCTCAGTGTTTGTCGAGGCACTGGATGTGAAAACTATTTTCAAAGTTTTTGAAAGCTTGAAAAGGTAGCAAATTACACTCACCCAAAACTTCAAGCAACTCACACTTTCTTCAAAAGGAAAAAAAACCCAAACCAACAAAAAACTGCTAAGATAATTCCCAAGGTCACATTCTTAATGGCTTTTTTCAAAGTGTAGTCCCAGCATTGTTTAATCCATTAATTTTATGATTCTCTTTGTAAGTGGGCTTGCTTTCTCACATGCAGTTTTCCCTGTGCTGTACTTTAAAAAATCCTTCTAAATCTTTTTAACCCCTTTTGCCAAAATAATTTACTCTGCTTTTCTGTAGTCGATATGTTTTGCTTTCATAAACTGCTTAATCTGAATGTAATTTTCCTAAATTTATTTCTTCTTTTTTTTGTCTTTCCCATTTTTTGTGTCCTGGTGGTGTGCTAAGTGTTAAAATTAGTAATATTTTGTTTTGGAACAAAGGCTTGGTACATTTTCACAGGAGAGATTATCAAGAGTGATTTGAAATACTCATTTTAGAGCAGCTTATTTACAGGTGATACAATTTCAAAATTAATTTAAGAGTGGTTAATTTTCCGTCATAGTCTGCGAAACTATCATCCAGATATTTTTGTTCCTGAGGGCTAAACTTAAAGCACTGCACTAATGCCAGCAGATTTTTCTGGTTTGTCTGTAGAAAATCTTTTTCATACTATCTTTTTCTAGCCACTATGCTGTGCAGAGGTGCTGAGACTGAGACCAGCTGATAGGTTTACATTCAGGTTATATCAGATGAACTATGCTGGAGCTTTAACTGATGAAGAGCATAAGGAAGGTGATTCATCCTCTTCTCAAAAACTTTATGTTCCACTGATTTATGCAGGAAAGGACAAATCCTGGATTGGTTTATCTGTGCCTGCTTGTCTGGAGCTGCCTGTGCCTACCAATGGCTGGCAGGGTAAGGCTTGTTTTGGTCTCCACAGCCCATGACAACTTTCTTTTCTGTTCCTTTCTTCTAGGCCTGTCCCAGGTTCTCTGTCTTCACTACTGCACCTACACAACCGACAAAGACAGCCTATGCCTGCCTCTATGCCTGGCACCCTGCCCAACCCTACCATGCCAGGATCCTCTGCTGTACTCATGCCTGTAAGTTTTCTTATTTGGCTTTTTTTGCAGGGTGGAAAGTTGTGTTGTGTTTGATTCAATCTAAGCAGAGGTGAAAGTCTTCTCGGTTTCGTAAAAACCCAGTGTGATAAGGAAGCTGGACCTTCTTTGGTGCTTCACCTTAGACTAGAGTATTTATGATTAAGTTAATGGCATGCTAATTAGTGTGAGAGTGATTAGAAGCAGTTTACATGAGACTACAATTTGTGATCCTCATACTTGTTCATGTAGGTGAGATTGGTATGTTGGTGATGGAATAAAAAGATTTTTCTGAATTCAGAAAAGACCTGGAAAAGCAATGCACATAAGTTATGTCAGTGAGCTCTAAGTGATCCTCTTGTGTGGGAGATAACCACTTAGCAAGAAAGAAATGTGATTTACTTTTCTGGCCTGTTAACTTGCACTTCTTGAGAACTAGGTAACAATTGCTGCTCATCTTTCATGATTTCTGGAGAGATAGGAATATTTCCCATCTTATGGAAACCAAAGAGCTGCTTTACAAATGTAACTTCAAATTTTAAATTATTTTAACCTTTTAACCTTTTCAGTTGAAGACATTTGGGCAGGTTAGGGGTGGAGAAAAGTAAGGATCACATGGGGAAGAGGGGATGGAGAAAGGAGAAGTTTTTGCTTCATTTCACTGTGTTCAGTTTGCAAGACAAACCTGAGAGCAACTGACCATGGGAGGGAGAAAAGCACTGCTTGTTCTTGCTTTGCTGGATCAAGGGGAGCACTCCACAGAGATACAAAGATTCAGGTTTAGCTGCTGTTTGAGCAATCATGAATAAGTTATTAATTATTAACTTGTCAATAAGGCTCTCCAGGAATATCGATCAGGAAGTTTAACAAAAGAAACCATAAGACGTGTCATTGTGGGAAGTCTTTTTTTCTGGCATGATTCCCAAGGAACCCAAAATGCAACAAACATCCAGCAGCCGTGTAAGTTCAGTGGCCTCAGTCTGCTGCTGGGGAGCCCTTTGGGCAGATTTCCTTCCAGAGGAGCAGGTGTGCTCTGGCTGTGAGCCCTGGAGGGATGAGCGTGGAGGTGAGACAGACCCTGTCAGCACTGGCTGCTCCTCCTGCCCCACAGCACTCCTGAAAGGGCTGCAGGGGAGATGGCGCTGGGAGCTGCTCCTACCCCATGGAGAAAGGGAAGGGGGGCATTGGCAGCTTTTCTCTGCCGGGGGAGAGTGGAGTATTCACATTTCCCTGAAGCCCAGCACCCATTTTTGCAGGCATCATGGAGGATGGGAGACAACTCCTCACCACAGGGCACAAAAAAAATAGCTCCCCTGCTTGGATTGCTCAGAAGGACCCAAAATGTTCTTTTTTGTAAGAGCCAAAAATTCAACAGACTGGCTCAAAGCAAGGTGGGATGCTCAGCTCTGTCTGGAAGCAGCACCATAACCATGTTTACCACTCCTTACAAGGCTTAGCAGTGTGCAGGGCTTGTCTTTTTTGGGGGGAATACCCCCCAGGAAATTATTTTATAGAGGATTTACTGCCATTAGGTTTTTTTTTGTATCCCTCCCTCCCAGCCTAGTGAGTCTAGCTTGCAGAAAGGGCTCTGAACAGCCAGGAGAAGTTTTGCTTTGTTTTTTTGTTATCTCAGCAGTGCACAAAAGCTTCCCTTACAAGACATGTGGAAAACTCTTCCCAGCTGAGCAGTCCGAGTGGAGGAAAATCAGCCAACTTGTTTTCCAAGTGCTTGAGATTGTAGATTTTTATTTATGCTTTTAACAAGCTAAGTTGGGCTGCACCGGGAGGGGAAGCTACAATTTTATACAGTGATGCTTTTAAAACCACTTAACTCTGAGTGTTGTTATACTGAAAGGGAGAAAATCATTACAAAAAAGCGCAAACTTGGGTGGCTGCTACATTTGTTTATTAAAGAAACCCTTTCTTTATAATTGGCTGTAAGTTTTCAGGGCTGATTCTGATGAAACACACACTTATGTGCATACACACATTCAATTCATGACACAGATTGTTATTTTCCCAGTCATGACTTCAAGAAATAAAGCTGAGTCCATTTAAATAGAAACCGAGAGTAAATTCTTGCAAATGTCTCCAGATGTTTTCAAAGCTTTTTTTTTTAATTTGTTTTAAAAGATGGAGCGACAAATGTCAATGAACTCCAACATCATGGGGATGCAAGGGCCGAACCTCAATAATCCGTGTGCTTCACCTCAAGTTCCCCCAATGCATTCAGAAGCCAAAATGGTAAAAGAGAATTTTTAAAAATTACTGTATTTTCTCATATTGCTGTTGCATACCAGTTACCCAGACAGTGGGGGGGGGGATGTAGCCAGACACTGCTTACTTCATTCTTAGTCATACGTTATACTCTTTTTTAATATGCTGCAGTAAATTGCCTTTGTGACTCTGAACTTTCAAGTTGTTCTTAGTCCTAACTGATCTCTCAGTGAGAGGGAATTGAAGGGTGAACTATCTGATCCATACTGTGCTAATTGGGATTTTTGGTGCAGGTCAGTAGAACTTAAGCAAATGGCCTGGTTGTTTCTCTAATGGTGTCTGTGCTCCACAACTTGATCTAAGGAAAATTGTCAGTTACTAAAGACTGCAGTATAAAGTGGGTGCTGCAGAGCCCTTGTTCTTTCCAGATAGGAACACAGTGTGTCAGAGAAGCATACAAAACAATACCTATCTATATCTATCTATCTATCTATCTATCTATCTATCTATCTATCTATCTATCTCTGGGATATTTTCTTTTTCTGTGTTCCCATCCAAAAGAACTGTCAGAATTTGAACAAATGTAATTTATTTATACAAGTCAAATGTCATAACAAAAAAAAATTGTTTTTTACAGTTGTTCTACATCTTAAAATGTCAAGGCTTCTCAGGCATATGTGCTGATATAGGATTAATGTTCTTAAACTAAACTACAAGTGGACATATATAAGTTTTTCCCAGCTTTATATGCACTCTTGTGGCGGCATTTGGGACTAATATCCTTGGAATCAAGTTATCAGTGTAGAAATGCTTTGGATTTTAAGTTTCAGAATTGCCATTTGCTGGTGTCTAATGGAAATATGAAGACAGAAGTTTTTAGTTTTAACTCTGTAGGGCTTTTATCCTCTCAATATATCTCATCATAGTGAAAATGACGATTAACTTCATTGAACTTTTTTCAGTGGCACTTTGCCAAGGTAAAATTGTCATAAGTGAGAGAATGAAATCAAGCCGACAAAGATTAAGCAACCACATATTTTTATATCTTTCTACTTTTCATGACTGGTGCAGCTTTTAAAATTGTTGTCATCCATCCTGAGGCAAAGAAAAATATCTATTTGTCTATGGGTATAGTGCATACAGGAGACTCTAGGTTAAGAGCAACAACATAAACAAATTTATTCTACCTCTGTTTTCTTAGGTTGGGTAGGTCATGCCTTTGCCTCACTGTTGGTCTGGGTTAGGCTGTTAACCCAACCTCTGTTAACACTCTTTCTAAAACCACATTCTGTAAACATGCAGCCATTTGGCCAGAAGAAGAAGGATAGCCAAAAATGCTGGCTCCTCCAGCCAAGGAAAACCTGTGGTCGAGAGTTCTCTCTGCTGTACCACACAGTGACGGTGACATGCCAAATGGCAACAGCATCTGCAGCAGAGCTTGTTAAAAACTTTTTGGAATAGGCAAGTGTTTTTTCAATGCAAGTGTAGCTGAGCCAAGCTAAATACTCCTTTGCTGAATAAATCCAAAACTGGCATCTGTTTTGGGGACTAAAGGTTCTGTAGTTTACTCTCTCCCCACACCCCCTGCCTCTTTTTTACTGGTAGTGTGAGGCTACTTAAGAACAAGATTAAATTATTGGTGCATATGGTGAGGATTCTGTGCTTTAATAACTGAAACTGTATTTTAATACAAATTACCTTTTAATCTGGGTAAGCAGGTTTTGTCCCTAAATCTAATATATGAAGGCATTTTAATGTATGAATAAATTGCTATCAGTTCCAAAATGTGGTGCAGTGAACAAGCAGAGCCTTTACTTCTGCCACTCTTCAAAGAGTAGAAAAAAATCTTCACACATTAACTCTCAAGAGGTATAACTCAGAGTTCCAGGACTTTTCCTACTTTCAAATGCAGGTTTGTGGTTTTAAAAATATTTTATATTTCTATATTCTATTTTTATATTTTGTTTCTATATGAACACACATGCAACATAAAAACTTCTTCATTTAGTCACTGCTTTGAGGAATATGAATCTATTAAAAATATTCTGCCTGAATACAAAGTAGAAAAAGTGTAGGAAATTTTCAGAGCAAAATTATTTCTTACATGCAAATTAATGGATTTTAAATCAGAATCATCTGTGTTACAGGGATATTTGATCTTATTGTTAACTGTTTCACTTTGCCTCATGCTTTCACATGCTCTGGTGACTTAGTTAAAAGTTAAAAGTCAGGAAGCTTAGTACCTTATCAGACTGTGTCCTGCATGAGGAAAGAATTTCCCTGGATTTCCCTGGATTCTGCTAATGCTATTACTGGTGGTGCATTCAGCATTGCTTATGCCTCCTTTGGCTGGCCCACCCCGAGAAGAATGGATGTATGCAACACCAGATAGAGTCATCTAAGATGCTTGTAGCTAGTGACTGAAGTAACTGGAGAAATCCAGGGGACTTTGGGCCTGATTCACCAGGTGCCCAAATCCATGGGAGTATCAGCACTTTTGGGAGGCCTGCGGGAGAGAATGTGGGACAGGCTCCTCTAAATGTGAGACCAGATGTGAGACCAGATCCTTCTGGCCTCATGGCAGCATGCACCTAAGCAGTGCAAGCACAGTTTGGCATGCAGCAGTCATAACACTGTTTGGTGACTTAACTTGCCTCTGTAAAATGCATGTCAATAAATAATATCAGTAGGGATGCTGTGTGATGCCAGGTTTTTTAAAGAAAGATGATAGATGGCAAAAGATTCACACCCTTGATTGTTTCATAATTGGTTTATAGTGGGAAATGGAAGCCAGTCTGATAAATATATACACTGTCTGATATACAGGAAGATCTACACACAAATATAGAATATGTGTGGCATTAATGTAATGTTTCTATAATAAGCAATACATATTTTAATCACCTTGTATCACCTGGCATTTATGGAAAGCCACACTCTGCCACCCAACTGCTTGCTTCCTGGTTTAATTTCTTTCAGAAGAACATTCCATCAAGTATTAAGGTATTGTAGATGACATCCCAGAACCGATTTAATTTATCACAGCAATCTCAGTTTCCCTCACAGTATGCCTCTCAATTAGGTTATCACCTAATGCTTTAAAACTGTCCTAGTAAATGAATGAGTGAACATCTAAATCAATACTGCTTTCTTCTTAGATTCATAGCCGAGTAGGTAAAACTCTTATGCTGCCCACCAAAAACACACATTGATTTTATATTAAAATATATTGCATTGGAAAGAGAAGGAAACATATAGCTCCTTAGTGTACATGGTAAAAATATGGCAAAAATATGCAGAGTCGCACGTGTAGCATATTAACATGTGGTTCAGTAGGCTGAAAATATTATGAAGTTGGAACTGTTGGCAGTGCCTTTGCCTTAATATACTGCCTACACACAGCCTGGTTCTGCACTTTCAGAGTACTGGAGGTTTTAGAACTCGGAAGTGCAATACTGCATGGATTACTGGAGTGCAAGATAAATAATGTGCACTGAACCACTGGAAGCCTGTGTGATAGCAGGTCTTTTCCATGGAGCTGATGCCTTTCTGTCAGAATTTTTCATGGCACTGATCTTTACCTGCAGAAATTTATGTCCTCTGAAAAAAGATATAAAAAGCAGAGCGGCAATGAACTTAAAAACACAGTTCTCAATTTAATCTATTAATTTTTTTTCTTTTACAATTTCTGTCTGCCACTTGCTCAATATGTAGTTTTATAAAATTTAAATTAAATGTTATATGTGTAGATTGGCTGTGCCTGTGATCCTGACAGAAGGTGTATGTTTCTTTAGAAAAGAAAAGGAAAGATATTATTTCTGTATCAGAAACACATAGGACTGTGGACTGTTGTTTTTGACTGTCAGGTGAAAGAGTGAAAACATAACCAGAAAATAAAAGTTATAACAGTAAAATAACCAAACTTCCTAACATACCTAAGAATGCTGGACAGCTTTGGCAGAGGAGGAGAGAAGTGAAAGAAATTGCAGTGTCATCAGCACTAATTTTTATTCAACTTAATTAGAGGTAAGGGTCCAGATCCTACTGGTGGCTGTGTAAATCCCAGTGCAAGCATCACTCAGCTCTCCATCCCCGAGGAAAGGCCAAGCTGTCTGCAGAGACCTGGCTGCATTTTGTACGGCTCTAAGACAAGCACGTCTCCCTATCTTCAGGAACACAACAGCCAGCCAATGGGAAAGGCTTGGCCACAGAGGTCCAGGGCTTCCATCAGATGCAGATTATGGTCTGAGTTTGGATGGAGTCTTCTGCTGCTCCTTGTTTTACAAATAACGTTTTGTTTTACAAATAACGTGTGCCCGTAAGCTATGATGGTGCAACCAGCACAAAGAGACAAGCAGCTGGAGGAAGTTCTCACCCCAGCCCTGCTTTGGTGCTTGGCTTATCCATTGCAGCAGCCCTTGGATGTGGAAGCAAAGAGTGCTGCCCAAACAGCAGTGGCTGGAACAGCTGGTGGCCTTGGGAAGGACATCCCTCTGGATTCCTGCTCTGGGCCCGGGTTTACAAGGTTTCCATGCTGATTTCAGGCAAGGGGCTGACATAGGCAGCCCAGGCAGGATCAGAGCCACTGAAACTCTAGGTTTAGATACTTCACACTTTGTGACTGAAGATACTTGTTGAACAAAATAAATGGTTTGAAGTCTATGTTTTCCTATCAAGCTGTCTGGGAATAGAATCACTTTAGTAGAACAGCACACACTGCTTCAGGGCCCGAAGGCTTTTCTTTGCATGGATTCTGGACTGCTGAGCAGAAAGAAAAATTGAAAACAAAAAGAAAAAATCTCTGCAGAACTTTCAACAGCAATTGCTCATCTTGTACTTCACAATAAAGCAATGAAAGCAGCATAAGAGAAAAAAAAAGTGCAAAGCAACATCTTCCAAATAAAAAATAGAGTCGTGATGAAATTTCCTGTATCAGTAACTGAGAAGTGTTTTCACAGACAGAACTGTGTATAGTTAAAACCCACAGTGCTTCTGCAACTGTTGACAAAACTAACTATTCTGAAACT